GAGAAAGATTAAGAGAATTAACAATTTTCTATGCTTCATCAAGATATGTTTTCATACTAGACCGCCTCTTATGGAGATTGTGGAGTTGCTCCTTAAGTTGGAAAATATGAGTACGAGACAGTCACTTATACCTTTGATGAAGGTGATTCCAGATTTCAGTGGCATTGGCACATTTATGAACATGATTTTGAATAGCTGGAGAGAGAAGAGCAAGGAGAGAGGCTCGTAACTTGGCATCAATGATGACCCATTGATCATACGCCGAATTTACTTTCATAACCAGTTCCTTATCGTTAGTGGTAGCTGCCTTCTCGTCGATTATGAGGGGCGGTAGTGCGACATCGGTACCATCAATGTACGTAAAGAGACGATGTGCAATCAGAGTTGCTTTAACAGTTGATGACCACGACGGGTAATTATTGTCTTCTACATTTGTGGGAACTAGAGAATGTAGATTGCAGAGAAATAAACTCAATCCTCCAGAAAGGGCATCAAACGGATCCCGACCATTTGTTGACATGATGAAGAAGAAATTTCTAACCCACTTGCTGATGGAGAGAAGGGGTCGCTGACACTGGATCGCACGGCGGCGTGCGTCCGAGGTAAAGAAAAGAAGGAGAAGCCGAAGGAGGAGAGGCTAAGGTTTGAGAAGAAGTCGTAGCTCCGATACCATATTGAATTGGATGATTGAATAATTGTATTGATTAAGAAAATATGGAGAAAACAAGAGTGTGTGCGTCTATATATATATACATACATACATACATACATACATACATACATATATATATATATATATGTATGTATGTATGTATGTATGTATATATATATATATAAGTATGTATGTATGTATGTATGTATGTATGGGGGCCGGTTCTTGTGAGAATGCACCTTTTGGAGAGAAATGAGAATAAAATCTAGCCATTGGATCTGATGCATCGTGCAGCTCAGATTGCATCCTGCGCTCAGATTTTGAGATGGTGCATTTTGACGTGATGCATTTTCAAAACATTTTGGTGTACTTAATTTTGATGCAATCCTGACCTTAGATCTCATAATCTAAAGCACCAGATTCATTCTGATTTCTTTCATAAGATCGCATTCTCACCTGAACCTTATATATATATATACATACATATACATATACATATATATATATATATATGTATGTATGTATGTATGTATGTATGTATGTATGTATGTATATGTGTGTGTGTGTGTGTGTGTGTGTATGTATATATATATATATATATATATATATATATATATATATATATATATATATATATATGTATGTGTGTGTGTGTGTGTGTGTATATATATATATATATCTCCTATATTATATAAATGTAAAAGAGGGTTTGATACCCCTTAATAAGATGCTCTTTTCCCATCCAAAAAATAGGTACATTATGCTTTAAATAATGTACATTGTTTTTTAATACCAACCTTACTCATATAGCGTTAGTTTTCTCCTTCTACTTATATTCCCAATAAATGTCATTTAGTGCTATAGTCTTAGACTTACTCCAATTCTCACAATAAGGAAAATAGCTCTTTAAAATTGTTCTTTGATTATCTATTTGTGAGATGACTATCTCGAATTCAGCTACTTATAACATTCTCTAGATTCATCGTGGTTTGAGTTTCAAAAAATGTCAGATTATTCCCGTACGTTTGATAAAGCCATATTACGTACTCTTAAAGGTCAAGATCAAAAGGAGGATCAAATAGGTTTATTGTAAAAATTAAAAAATAAGGTGGAAAATTGATTTTTTTTAAGAAAGAAGAGAGAAGAAAGATGAAGATTTGTGTTTGTGTGTGTTTTATTTTTTAAAAAATGAGAGTGAATATATAGAGGATAAAACTTTATTTGTACATAAAATTATATTTTAAAATTGAAACATAATTGTATAATTAAAATGTTAAACTCTTAAATTATAAACAAGCTTGTGCAAAAGATTGGGTTAAAACTGGACGGAACCGGAATCGAATATACGAATCGAATTATCCAAAATGGAAATGATTGGAAAAGTAAAGGGAATTTGAGATCTCAATCCTAACCATGGATAAAAAGCCGGGCTTGAAGATGATTTCCCGGGCTGGTCTTGACCCGACCCAAGATCTCCATTTAGGAAAATGCTATATGAACCCCACTTTTGTACACCAGGGGTACACCATATAAAAGGCCAACCCCCCACCCCTTATCCCTCTCACCCACGTAGTCTCTCTCCCTCTCTCTTCCCGATCAGCCTTCTTCTTCGCCGGTCAAGAATTCTACTCCCCTTCGCCGCCTCACTCTGGTACCCAAAAGCTCCAGCCTTCCTTTTTTCCTTTGCGACGTCACCCTCCACTCCAAATCACCTTTGAGGACATTCACCTGCAACTTCACACTCCGCTAAATCAAATTTGTATGGTTTTTGATATAAATCGAATTTTATTTTGTTCATTGTTAGATCTGATTTTGTTCATTGTTGGTGGAAATTTTGACTTTCCAATCCGATTTAGACAAAAATTAAATTTGATTTGTTTTCACAGATCTGATTTTATTGTTGCACTTTCCCAATTTCAATTTTGTGTTGTAGCTTTAGGTAGCTATTTCATCTATGTATGTTGAATGGTTTGTGACAAGAGGTTTAGATTTTTTATCTACACTCTCACAGACATACTATGTTTGTAAAGAAAATATTACAGACACGTAATGTCTATAACATATTTGACTGACACTAGTATGATCTAACAAATTTAGAATCCCTCCCAAAAGTTCACCAGTATCCCTCAAGAAGTATCCTTCAAGCTTACTCATCTCATTCCGAATTGGTGCAATAATTGAACATGCTCATTTGATTCTTATAGCTTCTAAAACGTGTTCCAAACAAAGTGACATTTCTTAATTGTTTGTTTGTTAAGTTTCAGAGTTAGACTTAATTATATTCCCTTGTGGTTGCTTTTGATGTAGAAGATTGGAAGTTGGAAGATTGGAGGTAGTTGTATTTGGATTTTTACTATGTTAAGAACCTCATTTGGATTTCATTGAGGTTACCCAGACATTATGTGTCTTTGGTAAACAAGTACAGATATTGAGTGTATGTGAATTACTTACTCATAGATGAACATTGTTGATGACATTTATTTTTTCTAATAGATTGAGAAAAGTGCACAGATTTCTTTGGACCATGGCATCTTCCTCTTCGACTTCCAACTACCGTGTGAAGAAGGAGACAAGGAGACAATATGAAGCAATTTCTTCCAACTTGAAGATGGCGAGGCCTGAATTAGATCTACGTTATGGTACGGTAAAGTGTGATTGTTTGCCTCAATCAAGAAATTGTGTAATTCGAGTTGTGACTGACCATGAGAAGCCAAACAAAGGTAGGCTTTTTTATACTTGTGATCACTGTNGGAGCTCAAAACGAAGTGAATGCAGCTGTGCCCCGTGAGAATCATTCCAATAGGGGCGTGAATCTATATCAAACCATAAACCTCTTTTGCAAGTTGTTGGGTCTTGTTGTTGTTTTGGTTGCTCTTTTGAAGTAGGTTGATGTATTTAGTAGTGTTCTTGGGGCTGTGTAGTATTTTGAGTTGTTAATGTTCAAGTACTTATGTACCAATGTTGTATGACTTGTGTTGAGCGAATTTGTGAAATTTGTGTAATGGAAGATCATTGTTTTGTCATTGTTTTTTATGGCTTGTATATTCAGTTTTATGGCTTGTCCTTGTATACCAATTTTTTGTTTCTGCTTGTATGCAAGAGCCTCGAGGTAAAAATGGTATTCAGGCAGAAACATGAACTGGTATTCTGGAAAAATTGGTTAATGTATGTGAACTCCTACTCACAGACGCAGAATGTCTATTTTTAATGTTAATTGCTTGCCTGCTTCGTATCATGTATTTATCTTTCTGAATTTTTACTTTTTGTTCTTGTATTATGAACACTAAGTTCTTAATTGCAATTTTGCATGTTTTGAAAAAAATGGTAAATGTATGTGAACTTTTACTCACAGACGTAGAATGTCTGTTTTCAATATTAATTGCTTGCCTGCTTCGTATCATGTATTTATCTTTCTGAATTTTTACTTTTTGTTCTTGTATTATGAACAATAAGTTCTTAATTGTAATTTTGCATGTTTTGAAAAAAATGGTAAATGTATGCGAACTTCGACTCACAGACGTAGAATGTCTGTTTTCTATATTATTGTCATATGTTCAACTAAGTAAGGAGTATGTTTTGGTCACACAGACAACAAGTGTCTGTAATTCATCGTAAACAGAAACTTATTGTCTGTAAAACCTAAATTAAAAATTACATATTTCAAGAATACCAAATAATGCTATAGTAAATAATGTTTCACAATTACTCTTGATTGTAAAAAAGAAAAAAAATTATAATTACCAATGTTTAGTTACACAAACACTAAAAATCTGTAATTCTTTATACACAGACATTTATTATTTGTGTAATTTAGAAGAAAATTTCACCCTTCAAATCTATGAAATAGTACAGTACCAAGAACATTTCACAAATTTTTCTAAGTTTAAAAAAGAAAAGAAAAATTACAATTAATACTATTTAGTCACACAGACACTAAATATCCTTATTTTCTTGAACACAGACATTTACTATTTGTGTAATCTGAATAAAACATCATCACCACCATTTCTGCCATAATTTACTGCTCCTGTGACGACAATGATGATGATGGCGCCCTATTTCTAGGCGGCTGCGGGAAGCCCACGGCGTGCAACTTCAGGGGTGCCGAAGATGAAGCTAATCGACCGGTGGGAGGAAGAGAGATGCGAGATCTATGGAGGAAGAGAGAATGAGTGAGAAAGGGAAATGATGTTGCCTGGTGCTGCGTCGATCATCGGCGGCAGGGAGGGAGGGAGTCGAGTGATCAGAGGAGGAAGAAAGAGTGAGGAAGAGAGATGAGGGTAGGGTTGGTTATGGAATGAGGGGGGTGTATATGGTGTTCAAATCGCTCATAATCACATCAGAAATCATTCATCTCGAAGGATTGAAGAGAGGGGGCGCGCGAGAGAGAGAGATTCGAAGAGCGTTTTCCTTGATTTCACTCGGCTGATGGGGAAAATGAGTAGAAGAATAGTGAAGAGGTCTAGGGTGCAATCCAGGACTGTATGTGCACATCCAGGTTTCATGTGTGGTATGTGTATAGAGTGCGGTGAGACGATGGAAGACGATGACTCGGGGGTTTCATTTGGTTATATGGGCAAGGTATTTCATCCCCAATTTTATGATTAGGTATTGACTTGTGTTGCAGGATTTGAGGCTGGGTGTTGATGAGGTTGCTAGACTCCGCGAGAAGGACTTGAAGAACCTGATGCAGTGCAAGAAACTTTGTTTGGTTCTTGATTTGGATCATACACTGCTGAATTCAACCAGGCTCTCTGACATTTCACCCAGAGAAGAGTACCTACATGCCGTTCCTGGTCTGCCCTCATTTATATATGCTTCTGTTGTTCTAAATTTTTTACTGCCCATATTCACATGTTTTCAGTACCAGCTGGTATCCATATCTTCCTCATTACACTTGGAAACTAGCCATTTTAGAGTTGGGGAATTTGAAAATAGATTTAGGGATTTCATTGGTGTGTAGAGGAATAGCCCTGAGAACATGTTTAATCAAAGGTGCCTTCCACTGGGTGTAAGGCACCTTCTTTACCAGCCCTTTAATTCGTTGTCAAAAGCATCAAGAAGATCTTTGCAGTAGCTTTTTTCTGTCAATTCCCCTGAAAATATTGACGCCTAGGTATTTAAAAGGGAGGCCACCTTTCATCATGCCCAGGCTCTTCTTGTAGGCGTTGATTTTCACAGTAGGTGTCTTGGGAGGAGTGTAGAAGTTTCTTTTGTCTAGATTGATTTGTTGACCTCAAACAGAAGCATAATCTATTACCAGGAATGTGGAGAATTTAATAAGGTTAATAAGGGTAGAAGTCTCTCCATTGACGATGAAAACTTTCCTGGCCCTTCATTACACATTTGACTAGCCATGGAGATTAAAAAAAGTGAAGTCCTGTGGTCGTAAGTGCCATAGGTGAGAGAAATAATATGAGCCACAATAAACTTCTCCAAATTTGGAAATTTGGCATCCGTTCCAGTGGAGGAGTGAACCACACACACACTTTTTTTATGATTCCAATGACTATTGATTTCACTAATTACATGCCAACTTGATGTAAACAGATGCTTTGAAAGGCAGCTTATTTAGGCTGGACAGGATTCACATGATGTCAAAGTTGAGGCCGTATGTGCACAAGTTTTTGAAAGAAGCCAGCGAGCTGTTCGAGATGTATATATACACAATGGGTGAACGCCCTTATGCGCTTGAAATGGCAAAATTGTTGGACCGAAAAGATGTGTACTTCCATTCAAAAGTGATTGCACAAGGAGATTCAACAGTGTGACATCAAAAGGGCCTTGACAATGTTTTAGGACAAGAAAGTTCTGTCTTGATCCTTGACGATACAGAAGAAGTAAGTCATGCCGTGTTTCTTGAAATGCTTGATGATACTGATTTCCAAAGTTTTATAGCAGTCAAAGTTTCTACTTTTGATTATGAGTAGTTCATCAATCACAATCTCTTTGGGACGTTTTTCAGAGTTTACAAATCCATTAAGATATTTCCCTGTCCTTTCACATTTTCCTTTGGCCAATGAAGTGGATGAAAATGTGTTTCAGGGTAGTTGGAGATATACTATGTTGCTAACAGTGGTTTTCAGTGTGCTTTAACAAAAGTCCGAACAAGGTTACTCAACGATTTCTCTCTTGTAGGTATGGGGAAAGCACAAGGAGAATCTAATAAAAGTGGAGAGATACATTTTTTTGCTTCAAGTGTTTGCCAATTCCGCCTTGATTGTGAATCACTTTCACAACATTGTGTTGATGAAAGCGAAGAAGAAGGAGCACTTGTGGCCATTCTCAAGGTTCTTAAGCGGATCCACAGTATATTCTTTGACCAGGTACAATAAAATAATGGCTTTATTTTGTCTGATCTATTTTTTTTAATGATTTGAACTTTATTCACTAAACTGGTTTACCTCTTCTTTTTTTTCAGAAACGGGGAGACGATCTGCTAAAGACTGATGTGAGAGAGGTAAGAAGTAATTTGGAGCGGTCCTGTATTAGTTATGTAGGGTTGCTGATTGTATTAGCAAGCAAAATAAGCCCTTTCTGATTCAAATTGAGCTGCGAATAAGCAAGTCAAAAGTTATTTCACACACACTACTTGTTCTTGTTTGGGAGTTTGACACACTGTTTGGATTGGGTGCGGCATGGCAGGTGCTAAAAGGCGTGCGTGAGCAAGTGCTGAAAGGTTGCAAAGTCGTGTTCACCCAGGCAGAGGAGTACCGCCTTTGGAGAATGGCGGAGCAACTTGGAGCCACATGCTCAATGGAAGTAGATGAATCGGTGACACACATGGTCTCAACGGATGCTGGGACTGAAGAGTCACGCTGGGCACGGCAAAACAACAAGTTCCTAGTCCATCTAAACTGGGTCAAAGCTTCCAACTATCATTTTGAGAGGAAACCTGAGAAGGATTTTCCTCTATTAGCACCATGAACGATCTTTGGGGTTAGATCACGTTGTCAAGCTGCGCAACTAAAAGCTGCTGGTATTGGTTGGGTGGTTTGCACGAAAGCCGAGCTCCATTAGTGTGAAATGGCAACTAACTCTAGCGTGTTTTTCGACGGGATCAACTCTAGCTAGCTATAGCATCTTTTTGAGAGGGCGAGACCGCGAGAAGACTGAAGTCGGCCAATTGTATATTTTTTACCATACAGGAAGGCCAAGCCACTGTCAAAAATGGTCGAGTGTGATCTGCTAATGTGTGCCCATTCAAATGTATAAATTGAATCACGGATATCATAGAATTCTAAAAATTCACTTCTCTCGTTGATATATTTAAGAAAAAAGAGAAAATTATCTCTATAAAATGTACATTAAATTTTATATTTCTAAAACTTAGGGCCTCTTTGTTTGAAAAGTAAATTAATATAGACATACAATAAGTTTATATTCATTCATTTCTCAATGTATCTAAAAAGTTATAATAAACAGTTGATATGAAAGACAAGAAGAAGTATGTATTATATCCGTTCCATAAAAAAAAATTGTTTGCTATTTCTAAGTTCAAATTATATCAGTATTTTTGTTACTAAAACTTATTCTATAAACGTGATTTAGGGAAGCAATTCCCGAGCTTAAGTTCCCACACCGGTAGGTGTAATGCAAAAACTCCACTTAAGTAAGCAAGTGGCGGGCAAATTTAGCCATACCGGTGGGATGAGGTGGCGGTGGTTTCTCAGGCAATTCCTAACCCTAAACCGCCCTGGAAACAGGGATTCCGGATTCCGAGGTTTTTCTCTGGTGTCGGCATGTGGGGCCATTCCTCGCCCTTCCAATCATCTCCATTTTGTGACTATCTCAAAAACTCCGTACTTCCGGTCACATAATCGAGAGTAATTATTCATCGCCCTCCTATAATCATTTCCATTTTGTGACTATTTCAAAAACTTTGTACTTCCGGTCACACGTTCGAGGCTTATTATTCCTCGCCCTCCTAATCATCTCCATTTTGTGACTATCTCAAAAACTCCGTACTTCCGGTCACATAATCGAGGGTAATTATTCATCGCCCTCCTATAATCATTTCCATTTTGTGACTATTTCAAAAACTTTGTACTTCCGGTCACACGTTCGAGGCTTATTATTCCTCGCCCTCCTAATCATCTCCATTTTGTGACTATCTCAAAAACTTCATACTTCCGGTCGCATGTTCGACAGTTACCATTCCTCGCCTTTCCAATCATCCCCATTTTGTGACAATCTCAAAACTTTGTACTTCCTTAAAAGAAGATAATTAAACGAAGAGAGTACATCTATAGAGATTGCTAAAACTCATATGGTAGTGTAAAATACAATATACACAATCAAAATTTGCTATTGAAGATGCTCTTAGAATTCAAATTGTTAAAAATGTATTACCTCTATCCCAAAATGAATGTCACTATTCACACATCCTGTAAACTCTCATTACTTTTTTAAAAAACAATAGTTAAAATTTTCATGGAAATAAATGTAAATTACATCGTTCAAAATACAAAAATATTTTATTTTATTGAATTGGGAATCAATGTCATGAGATGGCCAGGGGGTACTCCGATGCTATGTTCGTAAAATTTATGATCCTTACTCCCCTAACATCTCAGGTATATCCCCCCTCCCTCCCACCCTGCCCCGACCCAGATCATCTCCAAATGATCCCATGACATTGATTCCTAATGTCATAGGAACCAAGGACTTTAGAAATCATAATTTATCATATGAATGATATTTTTCTCAAAGTTTTCATTTTTCGTTAAACAAAAAGGATGAACGTGAACCTGATACTTGCCAAAACCTATGTTTTGCACAGTTACCTCCAGCGCAGTTCCCCAAAATTGAGTTCCGAACTACCTGCTTGGCACTCTCTACTTTTGTCAACTGTGCAATGCCCACCGGCTCCTCACTTTTATAGTCAGTAATTTGTTGTACTTTTTTCATGCACATGATTTGCAAGATTTAATCTACTTTAGTTATATTTTTCACTTTAGTTGAATATATGACTGAAAATCATCCCATAAAAAAATAGTAGAGAAAAAGCATAAATTTCTTAAATACTCCCTCTGTCCAACAACATATTGTAGTGTTTGAAGTGTAGAGAGGGTGTGCATACGTAGACATTGTCTCTACTTGAAAATAGAAATAATGTTTTCAAGAAATCCTCAAAAAAATTAAAAGTAAAAACTTTTTTAAATGAACACACCCGTTCACAATAGATCCTCTCAAGATAATTTTTTAAAAAATTATAAAAAGTTTAATAATATTTTCTTAGGTTACGTTTGGTTGACGTAATTCAAGTCGTGGAATTGGAATTGGAAACATCAATTCTAATTCTTTTGTTTGATAACATAAAATATATATTGATTTAGAACTGGTAGTACAAAAAATAAATTGAAAAAATTCAATTCCATCTAATTCAATTCTGTATAATTCAAATTTAAATTTTATTCCAATTTTGCCAATTTTGTGTACTAAACGGACTCTTAAGGAAATTGGGTGGAGTACATTATATGAGGTGAGTGAGATGTAATAAATAAAATAAGAATAGATACTTGTGGTACTCTAAATGTTAAAAAATATAATGGAAAAAGCTTTACCAAATAAACAAAAAGAATATTTGAGAAGAACTATGACAGACGTAAAAAATGATACTTTAAATTTTGTATATCTTAATTTAGAAAAGTAAAACATTTTTAAATGAAAACTTAACAATAATACTCCGTAACACTTTTTAAGATGAAATGTATATTCAAATTCTGTATTAGATGATTTTTTTATAAACATACTAGGATAATTGATTTTAGGCTGAGAAAATGATTAAAAATAATTACTTTTCGAACAAAATGTTGCAGTTCAACAAAAAGAGATATTATAAAGACGGGACAACATAATCAAAATTCTTACTCATTTTTTCCATTTCCAATAAAATACTTCCACTATCTATTAAAAACTCATTTTTACTCTTATTTTTCATACCCTACCTATCACATCATATTTTTTCTCTAGTAATCTATTCATCACATCTTACTTTTACCCATCACACTAAGGGCAAAATTGAAAATCAACTACTACCTCCGTCCCAAAAAGATTTACACGTTTTGACTAAAGTTGAAATTAAGGGAGAGATAATTTTATATTGACTTTCCAAAAATATCCTTGATGTGATGGATAAAAGTAGGACGTGATGTGTAGATTATTAGGAAAAATGTATGATGTGATAGGTAGGGTTTGAAAAAGTAAGGCGTAAAAGTGGTTTTTTAATAGAAATGAGTAGGAGATTCTAGGACGTAATTTTTTTGAAAGGTGTAAATCTTTTTGGGAGGAGGGAGTACAATTTAACATTTCCTTATTTTTACACTTAGGAACTCTTTTTGAGAACGGATGGAGTATTATAAAGATGAGACAATATTATTATTCCAATATTTCAAAAAGGTTCTCTCTTTGATACGTACTCCATTTCATGTTAACCCTCTAGATAAATTGAAAATTAAATGAACCTAGGCATATTGTAAATTTACATTCATCCACTTCTCAATGTACATATTATCTCCGTTCCATCTTAAAATGTTGTTTACTCTTTCTAATGTCAAATTATATCAATATTTTTGTTACTCCCTCTGTCCTTGAGTATTTGTCCACTTTTGATTTTTTACGGTCAAAATTGGTAAACAATAAAAATGATATAAGATATTAATACAAAAATAGTTTTATTAGATTTATTACATCAAATATTTTCAAAATATTATTTTATCTAATTAATATACAATATATATTTTATTTAATTATATCTCAAAAGTTGAAAATGCTTGATCGAAAAAAGTTCAAACTCCAAACTGGACAAATACTCAGAGACGGAGATAGTACAAAAACTTATACTCTACACGTGATTTTGAAAAGCAATTTCCGTGCAAAATTTAGCAAGAGTAATAAACAAAATTACGGGTCCTCCACTTCCCACACCGGAAGGTGTAATGTAAAAAATCCACTTAAGTAGCCAAGTGGCAGACTTCTCCGGCCATACCGGTGGGATGAGGTGGCGGTGGTTTCTCAGGCAATGCCAAACCCTAAACCGCCCTAGAAACAGGGATTCTAGACTCCGGGGTGTTTGTCCGGCTGTTTCCCCGACAAAAAAGAAACGCCGATGCCCGGCCCGAGACTCCGCCGCGATGGAAAATAATTTGCACCGCGGGAGGGCTAGAAGGGAGTGTTGTCGGCATGTGGGGTCACATGTTTGACGGTTTCTATTCCTCGCCCTCCCAATCATCCCCATTTTGTGACTGTCTCAAAAAAGTAATGATGTCTAAAAGAGTAAACTTCATAATTGATTTAGTCCTCTATTATCAAATATTATTTCTGTAGTTTTTTTGGACACATCAAAAATAGTCTTTTTTTTGGCGAATTCGATGGTGGACAGTAGGTCTACCATGTATCTACATATGAGCAAAATAAACATTTTATTAATACTTAAATAAGCATTTGTTTTTTAATTAAAAAAATTTAAAAAAATTATGTGAGAAGGTTCACAAAAATGTTATGCACCCAAGGTATACCAAAGAAACATTTTTTTTTACCTCATGTTATGTTGATGTTCATTTTAAGACTAAAATTATATTCTGTCATCAACTTATGTCCAGTGACACATTCTAATAACGATTGGACGGACAATACAACAATAATACTATGATTGTGGACTATTATTTAAATGAAAGACCACCAAAATTATAATTTCTCATCAACTTTATGTTCACTGACGCATTCTAATATCAGTTAGATGGACAATACAACAATAATGACTATGATTGTGGACTATAATTTTGACAAGAGACCACATCTGTACACTATTGTTGATGTTAATTTTAGGACTAGAATTATAATTTGTTATCAACTTTATGTCCTGTGACATATTCTAATATCGGTTAAACGAGTAGTACAACAATAATGACTACTCCCTCCGTCCCCATGTATTTGTCCACATTTGACTTTTGGAACTATTCATCTAAGCACTTTGACTCATCAAATTCTCTCAATGTGTAAGCCTAAATATAGTCATGTGTGATCTTCTTTGATTTGTCTTAACATATAGATTATTAATATATAATTTTTATAATTTTTTAATATACAAATTACAAGATAAAATAGATTAAAGAAGTGCATTGGATGGTGTGCAAAAATGAAAGTGGACAAATACAGGGGGACGGAGGGAGCATAATTTTGACAAAAGACCACATCAGTAGACTATTGTTGTAGTAGAAATCGACTGC